TTTTTTGTGGTACGTGGGCCTCTCACTGTTGTGGCCTCTCCCGTTGCGGAGCGCAGGCTCAGCGGCCATGGCTCACGGGCCCAGCCGCTCCGCGGCATGTGGGATCTTCCCGGACCGGGGCACGAACCCGTGCCCTGCATCGGCAGGTGGACTCTCAACCACTGCGCCACCAGGGAAGCCCCGTTTCTGTGCATTTTAAGCATCTTTTGTCTGTTTGAGTTAATTTAAGCAAAGCTAATATTTTCTGTTTCTGGCATGTGCTGCCCTTTGATTATGATATTCAAATAATCAGTTTTCAAATTCTCATAACCAGTCTGTGTTTGAAGAGTATGGTAAAATTTAGACCATTTTTAAGTTCACCATAATCTGAGATTAGTCACCTGCATACTGAAATGTTTGTGTATAGGTGTATGTATCCACACACCCCGTTTGCAAACACACACACATATATGCAAACACATATGCATGCATATACTAATCTTGTCTGAATTTATATACTAACTATATGTACTTTTCCTCCCCATAAGGTAAAACTTTTCTTCTATTTAATGTTCATTTGTTTACTTTTCAACTCTACATTAAAGCCTCAGAATATAATCTTATTGAATATTCGTTTTGGATATAATTATTTACCTCAGAGAAAATAAAATAAATGAGCTCAATTTTAGCTTATTTAGACCTTTGTGACTCAGGATAGTAAGCATAATAAATAGCAATTCTATATCCGATTATTTAAAAGGCTTCATTTTAATGTTGAATTACTTGTTTTTATTTTTCAATCCAGATCTTTAGAGCCTTAGAATAAAGACTATACTAGTATATTTTTATTTCTTTTTAGGGGAAACGGAGGAAAATGATCAAGACAGCTCTGACAGTGATGTTACGGTTGTTAAGGTCAGATCCGGGGATTCTGTTGAGTCCGGAGGTAACATTGCTTTATGTACATATGACTCTTATCTTAGGAGCTGTATTTTTAGTTAAAGTATAAAGGTATTCTGTGAATTTGCTTTTTTAAAAAGTACTTAAAAGTATTTATTAAAACTACTTTTTAAAAAGTTGTGTGCTTTTAAACATTTTTTTAAATTACTGATTCCATGTATACATCTGATTAGTAATGTAATATCTAAACAAACAAATCACTTTTACCTTGCTTTGTTGTTTATGGAACATAAGATATTTTTGTGCTCAAAAGAAGAGTTATTTGTGATTTTTTAAAAAAATTTTTAGAAGGACTTCCCTGGTGGCGCAGTGGTTAAGAATCTGCCTGCCAATGCAGGGGACACTGGTTCGAGCCCTGCTCTGGGAAGATCCCACATGCCGCGGAGCAACTAAGCCCGCGAGCCACAACTACTGAGCCCACATGCCACAACTACTGAAGCCCGTGCACCTAGAGCCCATGCTCTGCAACAAGAGAAGCCACTGCAGTGAGAAACCTGTGCACCACAACAAAGAGTAGCCCCTGCTCGCCACAACTAGAGAAAGCCCACATGCAGCAACGAAGACCCAATGGAACCAAAAATAAATAAATAAAAATTAAATTAAAAATTTTTTAAAAATGTTTATAGAGAAACTGATCACACTGGCATTGACTCACTATACTATCAGGAGTATTAGTTAGCTTTTAGGAAGTTTTAATAAACTTAGATTACTCCTTTTATCTCTGAATTGTTCAAATTCACATCCAGTTAGCAATAACAATTTCTGATTGTTCCTGTGAATTGGTGTTCAAGTTTATTCAAGGAAAGAACTGACTGAAGAGAAAAAAATACCAACTTGAGACTTATGAGGGTGCTGATTAAATTTGTAAACAGCATAAATAATAAATAATTTTATATTTTAGTTCCATTAAAGAGTAAGTCTCTACTTACCCCTGACCACCTTTTGAGAATTTCTGTAATTCCTATGTTTTACTAAATCATTCCATTTTAAAAATAAGCTCAGAAGCTGGTTTATGGGCATTTATTCTACATATTTCCCACCCTTCCTCATTTTTCCCCATTCTTTCTTTCTTTTTTTTTTTTAAATATTTATTTATTTATTTGGTTATGCCGGGTCTTAGTTGCAGTACACAGGATCTTTATTGCTGCATGTGGGATCTTTAGTTGCGGCATACGGGATCTAGTTCCCTGACCAGGGATCGAACCTGGGCCCCCTGCATTGGGAGCTCAGAGTCTTAATCACTGGACCACGAGGGAAGTCCCTCACCATTCTTTCTTGATACAGAAATCCCAAAGGAGATATGTAACACTGTAGCGTAGTGGTTAAGATGTTGGGCTCTGGAGTTTCACTGGGTTTCACTCTCCCACTACTAGGTTTGTGTCCTCAGGCAGTTGCTTAACTTCTCTGTTCCTCAGTTCCCTCATCTGGGTTGTTGTGAGGTTTAATTACTTAGAGAGTACCTAGCACATAGTAAACACTCAAATTGAGTGCTGTTGTTAGTTTTCATATATGCATACATAACAGCTCTAAAAATTAGAGACTAATTAAGTCATGAATCATATGGCCAGTAGTTTGATGCCATTGCTACCAGTGTGGCTCTTTGAAGCTACATAAACCCCAGGCTCTGTGATCCCTTTTAAATTCTAATAAATTCTTATTGAAGCATGCATACCCCATACAGAAGAAAACTCTAGCTAAAGAACAAAGATGTGAGGCATATTCAGAAGAATACTGATCTTTCTAGATTGTCTTCTGGGCCAGTTATTACCGAAGAGGTACTAGAAGGTCCACTGGAGTGCAGAAGGAAAATATTAGAATTTAGTGTATATACATCTTTTATTTCATCCATTTAAAATGTCTGTTTTAGTTTGTTTTATAATATATACAACATGTTAGTTAATATATTATTTTAGTAATGCTTGTATATAATATTAAAAATATATTTTGGAGATAGGTGCTCAAAATTTTTTACAGTTATAGGAGTACACCAACAAAAATACTTAACCACCACCTGGTTGTGTCAAATGCTTTTGCCTCCAAGATAGCAGTCTGATTGCTTTTAGACATACTTTGTTATAAATTCCACTTTTAAATGAAAAAAAATTAAGATTTTTAAGAAGGGAAGGCTAAAATACATAACATATCGACCACTTGCAAGAAAAATTTAAGACAAAATGGATAGTAATGATTTCCAGAAGATCCATTATTGTAAACTTTCAAGATTTTCCCCAGCTCAAAGGTTTCATTATCTTCTTTACCTCATGCCATGCTCTATATCTTTTTTTCTCTTTAAAAAGAAAAGACAGATAATTAATTTTTTAGACATAACTTGACCCTTTAGAAACTATTTTTTAAAATAAATTATACATTCAAGTGTTGAATTCCCTGGGGTTTATCTGAATATTTTTGCTCTTTTGATTACTCAGCATTCTCTGGTTAAATGTGCACTTAGAAAGTTAAATATGCTTTATAGTATACTATATTTCTTTTTTGTTTTTAGACCAAACCACCAGATCATCAAGTCAATATCCAGAATCACTTTGGCAGTCATCACAAAGTAAGTAAAACCATGATTTTTACTCTTAAAAGTCTACCTGTGGGTGTGGTCAAATGCTATTCTTATTTTTGAAGATCTTCTTTTGCGGTTTAATGTAAAATGTTGACAAAGAGGTATAGTGAATGCTAAAAAAACCCTCATCTTGCCTCTTGAATTTGCTTCTTGAGTTAATCACCTCTGTACCCAACCTTGATTTTGAATTAAATAAAAACAAAAAACTACTGCCTTCTTTGATTTGTTGAATGTCCTCATTTGCAATATAAATTTGTTGATCGTTTTAGTTTAATTAACTAATGTAGTAGTTTGAACCTACTTATATGGTATGATTTAAACTGTGTTGCGAAAGTTTGGAAGGATGAATAAATAAGTGGTAAATCAGGTAAAGTAAAAAGTTAATGGTAAGTTAGTTGGTGTGTATATAAAAGTCTTACAGCCCGGCTTACAACTTTGAAAATTTTCATAATAAAATATTGAGAAAATGTAACACACATGAAAAGAATGGGAAGTAATATGCTAAAATGCTAACAGTGTTTGTTCAGGATGGTAGAATTGTTGTTGACATTTTTCGTTTACTTTTTTTCTATATTTTGCAGATTATCTACAATGGACATGTATCTCTTAGGTTAAGCAGAAATTACACTGTTTTTTCTTTTTCCATTTTTAAATCAAGTCCCAGAATTCAAATTAATTATTAGTCAACCAAAAATATCCTAGAATGTAAAATCTTCAAGAAATTTTTTTCCTTCCACAATACCATTTTAAAAATATGAGACTATTTTTTTAAGAAAAGTCTTTGGAAATCTGTTTTCTAATCACTGTGTTCATAGAATTCCACTTTATATATGTGTGTGTATATATGTATATATATAT